GATAGCTGTTCTGTTATATATAATTTGACTATGTTAAAGTTAAGACCTTTCTTTTTATTTAGACAGAAAAGAGGAGATGATGGGGAAGTCCTGTGTATGTCAATAAAGCACTGTTAGCCAATAGGGAAGCAAGATAGGTGGGACTAGGAGTCAAGGAGGATTCTGGGAAAGAGAGGCAGAAGCAGACGTCATGTCGCCGCCATAGAAGTAAGAGGTCCGGACCCTTTCTCCGGTAAGAGAAATACTTAGATGGGTTAAATACTTAAGTCAGAGCTAGCCAGTAAGAAACAAGCAAACGGCCAACAGCTTCATAATTAATATAGCCTCCTGTGTATTTATTTAGGACTAATTCGGCTCTGGAACCAGGCTGGCGGGAAGGGTGCATTCTACAAACAAATGCAGCATAAGCAAATGCAACCCATCTTTACATAGTTAAACAATTATTCTGCAACACAAACAAATGTTACCCATCTTTACACAGTTAAATAATTATTCTGCAACACAAATAAATACATCTTTACATAGTTAAACAAATATTCTATTCCACAACAAAAGCATATAAACATTTTTCTGAGGAGTTGGAGGGAGGAAAGGGAAAAAAGAAGTGATGTAATTACATTTTAATTAAAAATATGTTTTTAAAAAAGAATTATTTTGGGCTGGACCGACAGCCTCCAAACAATACAGAGAAACCCTGTCTCATAAAACCAAAAAAAAAAAAAGAATTACTTCAGGGCCATGGTGTCGAATGCCTTTAATTCCAGTATGTCAGGTCCTCTGGCCCTTCCCCAGCTGGTCTCTTCCCAGGGCCTAGTGGGATGGTGAGTGTCGACGATTCAGACCCCATCCCCTCCTAGTTACCAGGGAGAAATACACCGAGTCAGGAGTCTGTGGAAGCAGAGTCTCGATTTATTCCAACAGGCAGGAACTTATATAGGGCTGAGATAGGGGATGGGAATCTTTGGATGGGTTAAGGTGATGAGGAGGAAGGGCTAATAATATTCCACCAAGCTGGCAGGTAGCTAGGCAGAGGCAGTCTTACATCAGGTCTTGCTGAGTCACCCCCACGTGGAGGTTACAGGCCAGAGACAGGTTGCCAAACTCTAGCCAGGTTCAGGTGGTTATACTGGGCCTTACATCCATGCCTTTTTTAGGTCCAACATCTCCCCCTTTTGTTTTTGAGGAGGCAGAAACAGGTAGATCTCTGAGTTTGAGGCCAGCCTGGTCTAAAGAGCAAGTGAGTTACAGGACAGCCAGGGCCACACAGAGGAACCCTGTATCTTAGTCCATGTTCTATTACTGTGAAGAGATATTGTGATCATGGCAACTCTTATAAAGGACAGCATTTAACTGCAGCTGGTTTACAGGTTCAGAGGTTTAGTCCATTGCCATCCTGGTAGGAAGCATGGCATCACACAGGCAGACAGGGTGCTGGAGAAGAAGCAGAGAGTTCTATATCTGGATAGACAAGCAGCAGGAAGAGCGTGAGACATTGGGCTTGGCTTGAGCTTCTGAAACCTCAAACCCTGCCCCCAGTGACACACTTCCTCCAATAAGCCCACACCTCCTAATGATGCCACTTCCTGTGAGTTAATGGGGGCCATTCTTATTTAAACCCTATCTGGGAGAAAAAAAAGAATTCTTAAACTCTGGCCCAGCTATCTCTTGGCAGTAGAGCTTGGTGAGTACCCTGGGGACATACGCAAGGAGGAGGCAACAGAAAGCTATGAGTGAATTAGGAGCTCTCCCAAAGGAACTAGGGTAGAGGAGAACACGAGTTCATGTTTGTCTCAAGTACTTTCCTACATGGCCCAGGACCAAGTGACACTAAGAACTTGCTTAATTTATGCCTTAGCTTCTACCAGCTCAATTTCCAAATTCACTTCCTCCTATACCCTACATCAGCTGCTCACATAGATAACATGTTGTATATTGCATTGTTGGAGCAGTATCCAAGGAAAATGAGTCTATGAATTAGGCTACTACCAAACAGAAGAAATAGCTTGCATCTGGGACCCAAGACAGATTCCTATGTTAGGTTTTGTACAATTTTCAGTGTTAGATGGATTTTTAGAGGATTGTTGGGTATAGAAGAAGAGTGCTGAGACAATTATCCTTTAAAAGAAATTGATTAGGAGGATTACAGCATCAACATCATGGAGAGTGCAGTGGGATCCTGAAGAGATCCACAATGAAGGTAGTTTCTCTCTTACACATTTCTGGCTGGCTGGGGGAGACACACCATATGATCTAACCTAGGAAATATAGGAGTTACAGAGGCAGAAGACACCAGATAAAACAGTAAAATTGTAATTCAAAGTTACCCTGGACCTGAGCAAGTGTTGTGTGTGTGGGAGGGCGGCAGTGTGTTGCAAGGAAAGAATAAGCGTTGCCTGTCAGCTTTCTGTGTGAAGAGGCTGCAAGGGGTGGGAACAGATTTGTGTGGGTGGGTGGGGTCTATGATCTAACACAGTCGTGTGTGTGTGTGTGTGTGTGTGTGTGTGTGTGTGTGTGTGCGCCTGTGTATGCAGGTATGTATGTGTGTATGTGTGTGCATGTATGTGTGTGTGTCTATTTGCTGCATGTGTGTGAAGGCCAAAAATGGACCTCAGGCACAGTCCTCAACCACTCTCCACCAGATCTGTTTGAGACAGAGTATTACAAAACCTGGAACTCACAGATTAAGCTAGATTATCTCGGAGCACAGAGTAAAGAGACAGAAGACAGAAAGATACCTGAGTCTGACCTCAACAGGTAAAACTGTTTATTACAAATAGTGAAGATCAGACTACATTGGAGACTCCATGAGGATTGCTACAGTCTTTCATTCCTAGAATTGTTTGCTCAAGCAAGACAGATGGTCTTTGGAGACAGGTTGTCTCAGCAAGCATCCCTCTCTAGGAAGTGGCTGAGCAATAACTGTTGGGCAAAGTCAGCTGGACTTTCACAGGGTCCTATTTTTACAACCTAGGCTTTCTTTTTTTGTTGTTGTTATTGTTTTTTGTTTGTTTGTTTTTTGTTTTTTGTTTTTCGAGACAGGGTTTCTCTGTATTGTTTTGGAGGCTGTCCTGAAACTCACTCTGTAGACCAGGCTGGCCTCGAACTCACAGAGATCTGTCTGCCTCTGCCTCCCGAGTGTTGGGATTAAAGGCGTGCACCACCAACACCCGGCCCAACCTAGGCTTTCTGTCACTGGCTATCCACACAACTCCAGGGATCCTCCTGAGTCCACATCCTCAATGCACTGGGATTGTATGGTGTTCCAAGTTTGTTTCTCTGTTGCTTTGTAGAAAACACTGACCAAAAACAACTTAGGGAGAAAGGGATTTATTTCAATTTACAACCCTACATCATAGTTCGTCATTGAATTCCAAACAGGAATTTAAAGAAGGAATTGACGCAGAAACCACAAATGATGCTCATTGGTCTTCTTTCTTATACATCCCCGGGACCACCTGCCCAGAGGTGGCACCATCCACAGCAGGCTGGGCCCTTCCGCATCAGTCACTAATCAAGAAAACGTCCCACAGATGCACACCTATAGCCAATCTGATGGAGGCAGTTCCTCGATGGTGGCTCCCTCTTCCCAGGTAACTCTAGTTTGTGTCAGCCTGACAAAAACTACCCAGCACACAGCAAGCTCTTTACCTACCAGGCCCTCTCCCCAGCTCCTTTTAAAGGAGACGTGGCCTTACTTTTACCAATTTATGTGATTTTACTTTTTCATGTATATTTTTCAGACAAGATCATAAACATTTCTTTTTCTGGCATCAAGCCTATTGTTTTGTAGCCAGCACTCAAGTATAATGATTGAGCTGAATAAGATCGATGACAATGAAAGGCCAGGCTCTTGAGATGGCTTAGCAGGTAAAGGCGCTTGCTGGGCAAGCCTGCCATCCTGAATTTCAGCCCAAGAATACTTAGAAAGGCGAAGGGTAGAATCAACTCCATAGAGCTGAGCTCTGGCCTCCATGTGAGCACACACATGATGCACCCCAATAAAAATCGACAGCAAATCACAATATGTTCATGAGCACAGTAACTGTGGTGGCTAGTTCAATGTCGACTTGACACAAACTACAATCACTTGAGAGAGACGAGGCCTCAATTGAGAGAATGCCTCCAGAAGATCAGGCTGTAGGCAAGCCTGTAGAGCATCTCCTTAATTAGTGATTGATGTGGGGAGGCCCAACCCATTGTAGGTGGGAATACCACTGGGCGGTGGTCCTGGGTTTTATAAGAAAGCAAGCAGAGAAAGCCAGTAAGCAGCACTCCTCCATGGCCTCTGCCCTGCTTGAGTTCCTGTCCTGATTTCCTTCAGTGAGGAACAGTTATGTGGGATGGCAAGTCAAAGTCCCTTGCTCCCCAGTTTGATTTTGGTCATGGTGTTTCATTACAGCAATTGAAACCCTAAGACTACAACTATTAAGGAAAAATTGTATTACTGGTACAAATCAAAGTAGTTAACAATGTGTGTGTGTGCGCGCGAGTAAACACACAGATTCCAGATCGCTAACTCGAAGAGCGCTAGCTGTTCTTCCAGAGGATCCAAGCTTAGGTTCCCAACACCCACATCGTAGGCTGGCTGAGCTCTGGCTATAATATAACTCCAGGTCCAGGGGATCCAGTGCCGTCCTCTGAACTCTGTCCGCACCAGGCTTGCAGGTGGTGCTCATACACACATGCAGGCAAAACATCCATATACATAAAATAAATCTTTTTTAAAAAATTAAATGGGGTTGGCTAATACCACTAGTTTTTAAAACACAGGAGTAGGTGAGGCTTTAGAAGAGGAAGATAAGCACCAGGACTGGTAAACTGGCCTATTTTAAGGCATTACTTGTCACTTGCAAAGTCAACTAAAAAGCTCTGGCTGAGGTACCCCTGCGTCTCACTCACTCCCACAACCGGCTCTCTCCGCCCCACCAGAAACGGAGGGGCGGCGGGAGGAAAATAACCGGAAGAGGCGGGGCTTACAGAGCGTCTTGGGGTTGCGGCAAGCTCCACACTTCCTTTCCGCGCAGCGCTTGGGAGTGCGAGCTGCTCGTGCAGCATGGCGGGCGGCGGAGGCCCGGGGCTGCGGAACCCGGCCCGTCCTCGGGCTCTTCCAGGTGCGAATCCCGGTGTGCCCACCCCGTCGGGACGGGGCGGACACCCAAGCGATGGCGCCGGTGTCTTGCCGGGTACGTTGTGCCAGATGGCCTGGTCGGCGCAGCCCGTCGCGTGCCCGCGCGCTCGTGCTTTTAAGTAATCTGCAGATCTTAACTGAGCCTGCTCGGTGGACGACAGCGCCTGGCGGCTCTTAGTTGGAAGGCTTGCGCCTCAGGACACGTCCAAGTGCGGGGAGGAGCGGCCTCTTCTGGCGTCAGCTTTCGTTGGGCCTGCACCGCGGCTGGTGTCCCTTTTGTGTCCCCAAGTAAAGCCACCGTGCAACTTGTTTCACGCTTCTTAGTGGGTGGCCTGTTTTTCTGTAGGACATTTTTATAGAGCTAGGGAGTATTGCTTCTTGGAGAGTAAGAACCTTCAATTTTTAGATCTTGTAAGTGCGCTTTAATTTAAAAGAGGCTTTCAAGTCGTAGCAGTACTTGGTGCATCTTGGAAGCCCACAGGGTGGGGATGCTGGCTATAAGAAATAGTGATTAAATTTTGAAGCATGAATAGAAAGGAACACACCATTTCAGAGTAGGATAGTGCACTTTCCTGTTAGCATTTATAAACCAGGTTAGGCACTCTGGCTTCCTATTCACTCAGCATTTCAAGACATGAACGTGATTAAAGTTTCAGGTCGAATTTTACAGGTCTTCATAAGTCCTCTCCAGTGACTGGTTCAGTGAGTTAGCGTCTTGAACTTCTGTAGGGCATATGTGACCCTTGCATTCTCTTTGCTGTTGTCGTATGAGGTGGTGGTCTACATAACTGTAGTTGTCTATCTTTTCACCTGTAAGCCCTGAGACTGATGCGCAAGAGCTTGGAACTCACTGAATCCTTATCTTAAGGGATTTCTGCCACAGTGAAGGGTGTAAATAAAATGCTCCCGTGACTGATGATGACATGGGAGGTTCTAGAACCCAGAACTGGCAGCTCAAGGGTGTCCCCATCCACAATGGACTGCCTCCCTCCCCCCATCACCTAATTAAGAAATGCCCTATAGGCTTGCCTGTGGCCCAGTCCTCTACAGATACTTTCTTAATTGAGGCTTCTTCCTCCAGTGACTAGCTTGTGTCAAGCTGACATAAACTAGCCAGCACAATCGTATAAGGTGCTAAACGTGGAAGTTCAAATGAGAGTTAACAATCAAATGTTTAATTTTTAGGTGCAGCAAAACCTGTCTCTTGAAGATGCCTGAACAAATGTTTTCCATTTAAACAAGCCACCAGGACTACAGTTGCCAGTAACACGGTACAATACTAAGGTCTGTGTGGTTTTTTTCCTTTGTGGTTTGGTTTATTCAACACATAGGATCTGTTCCTGATGTAGCTTAATAGCTGGCACAATGATGACTTAAGTTTGCCGTTTACCCAGCTGAGGGTTTCTTTGAAGAAGTAATCTTAAGACTGAGATGCCAGCAACGTTTAGATCATGTGAATTCTTGAAATGTGATGAAATTGTTTTTGAAACGCTTTTCTTTTTTAATCCAGCATGTAGGTAGCTTCAGGTGAATGTCCAACTTGAGTAGCTGTGATGTTTACAAACACTTCATTGTTTTGGGTAAGTTTGCTCAGTCATGTCTCTTGATTGAGCAGTATGATACCACTCGGACTGGGGCCAATTCTTTTGAAATCGCCTTTGAATGTCTATTTACTTGGCATTCTTTCTAAGGTCATTACGATCAATACCTGGGCTTAGTTTTTAAGCTTGTTCCTAATGATATCATGGACTTCTGACTGTCTTTTTTTCTTTCAGGGAGCTGCAGCACACATTTTGGATGTAAAATGAAGGATTGGTCAAGAAACCGTGAACAGAAACAAATGATGAGAATTAGTATTTTATTTGGTATTAAGTAATATGTAGAATTTTAGTTGCAGTGGGCAATAATTTCTTTAAAATGTATGTCTAAAAGTGTCGTTCTCATAGTAAAATAAAGTTCTTATCTTTTATGAGCTATAGATTTCATTTATTTTTTTGTCAACAATTATGATTACTAGTAGTGAGTAGCTATAGCATAAACTGTAGGAAGGAAAGTGCCTAGGCCACTTGACAAGTCTGTAACTGGATTTCCTCTTTTGTGAAGACTTCCCTAAATCGTAAGCCTCTTGTGTCCCTAGATTTAGGAAACATCACAAAAATACAGCAACATTCTGATGACTTGAAGCCTTTGTGTGCTGGGTGATTGTGGTGCACACCTTTAACCCCAGCACTTGGGAGGCAGCCTGGTCTGTAGACTGAGTTAGGACAGGCACCAAAGCTACAGAGAAACCCTGTCTCCAAAAACCAAAGGGTAAAAAACACTGGGGAAGTGTTTGCTTAACTGACATAAGGCCCTGGGTTTGATCACCAAGAAAAAGAAAACTAATGTTAAGACTTTGCAGTTGTGGGAGGTATTTTGTGTGGTTTGTATTTGTATTTTGTTAAGAATTGCTTTGCCTTCATCCCAGAGACCTATACTTTTCACACATATGAAACAGCACAAAATAGAGGTCTAATTTGTATGTACTGTCATTAACTTGCTTTCAGAGCCAGTACCTAGAATACCAAATCAGGTACTGTGTGACCCTATAGTACCAACTAATTGGAGGCAGAAAGACCATTTGCCCCCAAAGGTAAATAGTATCTTTCAAGTCTGGTTGTACAAAAGGTGTATAAGATTTCCAGTTTTCCTTAACTTTTGCTTGTGCTTATAAAACAAAATACCCATAAAGCACATGTTTAAAATATAGAAAGGCCTTATATTAGACACTTTGGGTCATAAAAATTTCAGTGATTTGAATTCATCAGTTTGGTAAATTAACAAGCATAAGCTGGTATGTTTATAGGTAATGTGTTGGTTTCTGATGAGTGACGTGAACAGAACCCTTTTTCACACTGTAATGTCCTCTGCTGTGTGTGTATCCTTGATAACACTGGGGTGAACAGAAAGTTTTTGATGTGACTCTCCTTGATAATGTTTAAATATGAAATTTTGTTGCTGGCTTTAGATTATTTGTATATTTGATTATGGAGGGGCCACATTTCATACTCTGACATTCTCATAGATAGCTTGAGACAGACACATCTGATACATCACTCCAAAATCCCTCATACATTAAGCAAGGCTTGTAGAGGCATGGGAGGCAATTCTTTGCTCAAATTGCTTATTCATCACTAGAAAAGAGAGCTGTCCCAGGTCCACATGTGGCAATAAACTGTTGGAGCTGCTGTTGGCACTGAGTCAGGTAGAGATCTCTTTGCTCTAAGTATTCTTCATTGTACAATTCAAATGGAAATAGTGCATTGGGAGCAACACAAAATGCTGTAGCCCCTAAATGAAGAACAGAGTTACAGTGTAAATGAGACTTACAAACTAAGACTGGAAATGTGTCTCAAAGGTTTAAAAGTTCTGAACTGTTGAATCTTTTGAGTTCAAATTTTATTTTTGGCCTTTTTGAGGCAGGCTCTTACTATGCAGGCTGGTTTGTTTCTACCTCTTCTGTGATTAAAGGTGGGGCTGACTGATGTAAATATAAAAGGATCTTTAGTATATATCACTCAACTTGGTTCTGGATCACTCTCCATGCCCTCTGTATTATGGAATCCTCACCTCCTAGGACTTAACCTCTGATAACTCCCTGCCATTTGGTCAGTCTTAAACTCACCCACAGGCTGCTCTCCACTATAAGCCTAAGATGGCATGCCCAGTGGTAATGACTTGGTGTACTACCGTTGGTTTACTGTGTATCATAATTACTTCAGAATTTACAGTTTAAAAAGCCCCTTCCTGCATCACACATCCTCCCCAGCTAGTGCCCCATTTTGTTCCTTCAACATTCAGTTGTCTGCATGGGCTGTCTCCATAGCCACACATCCACTCCCCACTACAGCTCCAAACAGCTCTGATCAGCAGATGGTCCAGTGACCACTCAGTTTGAAAACCTTTTTTTGGTGTCTAGAATAACATAGTTTTTCTTCAGTCTATTTCTAAACACTGGAATTCTTCCATGGCAATAGGGGAATTTCATCCACTTGACTTTGAGTACCATCTCCTACCCTAATTCTTATATTCCCAGGTTAGAACTTGCCTAAGATCCAGATTTTTCTGTGTGTGTGTGTGTGTGTGTGTGTGTGTGTGTTTGTGTGCATACCTGTATCATGGGATGAGTGTATAAGTCAGGACAGCTTGAGGAAGTAGGTTATCTTCCACTATAATTCAGGGTTTGCAGTACATGGCCACCTACTGAATCACCTTTTCAGCCTGAAATTGTTTTGTCTATTGAAATTGGTAGAATTCTATTTTTCTCTTTGTTTCTAGTCTTGGTAAAGAGCATTATAATTTCCCATCTAGGTAGGGACCCTTAATACTTACCACTTTTCCTTCCATTCCTGCACCCAGGTCCTATTCTAGTTGGTTACAGTGCCTATTGGATTTTCATCCAAGGTCCATCTCTCACTAATTTCAATTTCTACTCTTGACCCAGTCAAAGCTTCCATTACAGTTTCATAGAGTATGACAACATAGTCCGTGCAAGTCCAGCCTTTCACTACAGACAACCTGGGCATGGCATACACCATTAATCCCAGCACTCAGGATGGGAGGCAGGTGGATCTCTGAGTGAGGCCATCCTGGTCTACAGAGTGGGTTCCAGGACAGCCAAGGCTACATAGAAACCCTCTCAACAAAGATTCACCACAGACAATTTCATTTCAAAATATAACTGATATTTGGTCTCTCTTTTTTTAAAAAAGCCTTATTATGTACAGTGTTCTGCCTGCATGTATGCCTGAATGTATGCCTACATGCCAGAAGAGGGCACTGTATGTCATTATAGATGGTTGTGAGACACCATGTGGTTGCTGGGAATTGAAGGATCTCTGGAAGAGCAGCAGCCAGTGCTCTTAGCCTCTGAGCCATCTCCCCTCAGCCCCTAATACTTGGTCTCTTAAGACAGTGAGTTTCTTCCCATTTGTCCTAGGACCAGAACCCTAGTTACCATACTCTGGGGCTTGCAGGCCTGGCCCCATTTTCCCTTATAACTTGACTGGTCTTTGCTTGATTGGCAATGTTTTAGTTACCCTGGACTTCTCATTTTCTTGAAAGCACCTGAATTTAATGTAGTGCCCTCTACCTGGATATTTCATCCCTCAGGCTAAATAACTTCCTTATAGGGGTCTCCTTACTTGTTCTTAAGTCATGAAGTCTCATATTCTCCATAGCAATTATCTCCATTTGTGTTAAGTTCAGCTGACCACCTCCCCACACACATGACAGGCAGTGTCCAGTTTTAAGGACACAGAAGCTGGGCCCTAACATCATCTTTCTCTTTTAGCCTTTCTGTTTTCAAATTTTTTGTCCTTTGTATTTCCCCCCTTTTTTTCTTTGTATACTTTGAGCAATATCTTGTACTTGATGATATTTTATATTTTTATTTCTCTGTCTAATACTTATGTACTTGTCCATTATTTGACAATTTATACTCTTTTCCCATATTTTTCTTTTTACTAATACTTGCAACTTTTAGCACTGTAGTGACTGAGGCTTGAGGATGGAAAGTTAAAGGTGACCTGGGTCCTGTGGTGGGACTTAGTCTCACAAACCACCCAATAGCAATCATAATAAGGTCTTTATTATCAGATGACACTGTCACTCGGCATGATGGCACACAGCTGGAATCCCAGGACTTAGAGGCTGAGGTACAATTTTGAGTTCACAGCCAGCCTGGGCTTATAATATGGTAAGACTCTGTCTTGAACAAACAAAAATATATTCTATATCCACTAAGAGTTTGAACTCAAGTAAGCCATATCTAATAACAATAAGGACTTGTTACTTTGAAGAATTTAAAATGTAGGTAATAATTTAATAAGCTAGAAATATTTAATAATCATTAGTGAATTAATTACCATATTTCAGCGTGAGAGAGATTTCAAACAGTAAGGCTGCAATCAGCACATCTTCTTTGAGCACTTTATTCCTTAAGTTCAGTCGAGCATGAGCTTCAGATAGAGAAACTCTAAAAAGGAAAACAGGTTAATAAAAACATGCCAATATTACAAAAAAATCACACATTTAAACAGGAACAGACCAAGACATGACATGAGTCACGTGTTAGAGGTCAACACACTGGTTTTTGTTTGTTCCCTTTAAGGTATTTCTTTCCACCAACTTAAATAAATTGTGCCAGAAGAAGCATTCCACATCCCCTGCCTCAAGTTCTGCTTCAATCAATATACAGTAGGGAGAATAAGCCTAACTAATATCTCTCATAGATGTATAGATGTATAACTAATATCTCTCATAGGTGTATAGATGCATAGATATATAGATGTATAGATGTATAGGTGTATAGATGTATAGATGCATAGATATATAGATGTATAGATGTATAACTACAGAGCTGCTTGGTGCTTCTCTCAGCCCCTCATCTATCTAAAGTCCCCATGGAATCGTATAGTTCAAAGTTCTTGTCACATAAGCGAATTCTGGCCATGGCATCCTGAACTACTCATTACCTTTGAACATACACTTCTGTTCACTACTTCCTCGAATGACTGACTTCTTTAAGCATGTAACCTGCTTTCCTTGCCTGAGATACCTCCTTTTAGTTTCATCAGGCAGGTATGAGGTTCAAGAAACTGAATTTTTTCAAGAAACTGAAGTTAAGTCTGTAGAATTTACTGACTGGATTACTTTGGCCCATATTAACTTTGAGTGTGTGAGAGTATGTGTATATACAAAATGAGAATACTAAGTAAGATAAAAATCTCTGTAACCTACAAAATTTACATAAATCTGGGCTGAAATTCATGTTGTAGTTTCCACCAACTGATCTCTGGTTCTCTGCTGGAACTAGAGACCAAAATGTGAGAACTCTTCAAATAGCTCAGTTAACATTTACAGTGCCCTATGGTTTCTTTTTCCCCAAGGTAAATATTCCAGTACCTGTGATGGCATGAGGGCTGGTGCTGTGCTTCAAAGGTATGAGTCCCTGGGTTTCAGCCTTAAACAGCACATACACGCACACTAGTCTCCAACTAGTTCCCAAGCGTTCTAGTAAAGTGTGAATGTGTGAGAAGAGGGAATGCCACTTAATATGAGAAAGGCATGCATGTGACTTCATGCTGTTCATGATTAACATGATAAGCATGTAATGTGACTCATTTTAGGCAGTATTAATAGAACATGTGTTAAGAGCAAGAGAATGATAATTCTACCTTACCTCTGACAGTCAAACGACACACATACAGTATTATGTTGTAAAGGTTAACCAAATCTGGTTATAAAGAAAGTAGCTAAAATATTGAAGAAATGAAAATTATGTTTCACCAGATGTGGTAGTGCACATCTTTTAATCCCAGCACTCAGAAGGCAGAGGCAGGTGGCTCTCTGTAAATTCAAGGCCAGCCTGGTAGCAAGTTCAAGATAGCTGGAGCTGCATAGAGACACTGTTTCAAAAAAACAAACACAAATACCTGACTTCAATTCCCAGAACCAGTGTGAAAAACTGAGTCTGGTGGTACATGACTGTAATTCTAGTGGAGAGGCAGAGACTGGCTGATCCCTGGGGGTCCCTGGGGATTCTGGCCAGTCATCTTAGCCTACTTCGTGAGTTCCAGGTCACGGTAAGATCCTGTCTCAAATACAAGGCGGATGGTATCTGGGAATGACACCTGAGGCTGACCCATACTTTCTACATGTGGGCAGACACCCACACACATGAAAAAAATGTATATGTATAGTTGCTGATATTTTTTTATAGGTCTTGCCTAGCATAGGCTGGCCTTGGACTCACTCTGTAGCTTGGAGATGACACTCCTGCCTCCATTTTCTTAGGGCTTAGATTATAGGTAAGCACCTTGCCCATTCTAGGTGGGATTGGGGATTGAACCCAGGAATTTGTGCATGCTAGGCAAATACTCTACCAACTGAGCTACATCTTCAGCCTATGCTGATATTTGAATAGATAATTCTGGAAGTATTCATTAAAACTTAACAGTGTGATTTTATCTCTGGGAGGACAGATAGGAACAGATAGTGTTAGGAGGATGCATTACTCATTTTAGATTTTGTGATGATCATAATTTCTTCTACAAGAATTATTCATTATTTACTTCCTAAAAGAATAGCAATGCATTTATTAAGGTATTTTAAAGTACAAGGAACAGGGCTAGGAATAAGGCTTGCCTTGCATGTAGAAGTCTTGTGTTCAATCCTTGACACCATATAAATAAATAAATAGAAGGGTAAGGAACGATGCAGTGTCTCCATTGGGGAGGGGGCTTTGAGGAGTTGGATGGGAGGGAATGGAGGTGGATTGGATCCACATATGAATATAAATAAATTACTTATTAGGAAAGTTTCTTTAGGTCCAACTAGAACATACTTGGGATACAAACAGCCACATTAAAAAGCAATCATTTACATTGAAATCTCTGCACTTTTCTCAGGCATATCTCATATGGAGGATCCAATAAAAACAAATTAGGGAAAATAATTATTAGTGGTGCAAATGACTTAAATATAACAAAGGAAGTCATTAAATCATCTTAAATTCTTCTGAGACAAATAATCAACCAACTATAAGTAAGAGAGACAAATGCAAAAACCAAGTAAATCAATTAAACTCCTATCTAAAAGTCAGTTTTGGTCTTAAAACCCGAGGTGAGTACCTACAAGTGTTTTAGTGCAGATGCTGACAGCTTTGACCCATGGATGGAATCTGTTCTGATTCTGCGACTTGCTAGGTAATAACCATGAATCATTCTTTCGGCCTCCAAGCTGAATTCCATAATCAAATTCTTTGCAAAAGCCAATAGCTAAGTTAAAAATATAAAAATTAAAGAGATTAATTTTATTATGGACCCATAATTCCAAAGTGTACTGGCATTTGATTTTTACGTTTCTGTAACTTTTACATCAAATATAAGTAAATATCTGGGCCATTTCCAAGCCACTGAGCACTTTAAGTCATTATCTTCCTCTTGTTTACCTAGAATAGCCTCTCTCACGGTGCAGAAGTGTACTATGCACAGAACTGAATGGCTGGCTGATTTTGGTGCTTCCAATGGGAGATCTCGCCTCTCCCAGAAGCTCATGTCTCTTTTGAATGGTTAGTTCCTTGGCAGTTCATTCCTTCATAACTTTTTCTCATTTTCCTTAGAACTACCCCCCACTTTCCCTCCATCTTTTCAAAGGGCCCTTAGTTACACACTTGCAGCGAGTTAGAGGTGCTGTGTTACTGCAATAAGGCTGAGCCTGATGACTCAGAGTTCTAGGTAGAGGATAACTCTTTTTGAAAAGTTCACATGTTTATTTGGGATGTGTGCAGTGTGCATGTGCCCTGGCATGAATACAGTGTTCTGGGCACTGAACTCGGGTAGTCAGGCTGGACAGCAAGCTGAGCCACCCCAATGGCTGGAGAATGATTCTGAAACACAGCAATTAATGCTGTCTCTCTGAGTCTGCTTGCTATTCTTTCTTCGTCTATAATTCCCGGTGCCTTAGATCCTTATTTTATCACATAGTTTCCAGGTTTTTTGTTGGCTTTACTATCTTAGCTGTTTTCTTTTTTTTTTTAAAGAAACCCATAAGACCCAAGGAAAGACCAAACATGACTAGCATGCTACTAATTATAGTTTATACCTATGTTTTTCCTAGTACTGTGGGGTTTGAACTCTGGTCCATACACAGTTAGGAAGGGACTGTTCTTCTGGGCTACATTGGCATCCTTGTTTTCTGTGTTTTACTTGTAAGCTTTTTAAGAAGTATATTGCTAAGCCGGGCATTGGTGGTGCACACCTTTAATCCCAGCACTCGGGAGGCAGAGGCAGGCAGATCTCTGTGAGTTCGAGACCAGCCTGGTCTACAGAGCGAGTTTCAGGACAGCCTCCAAAGCAACACAGAGAAACCCTGTCTCTAAAAAGCAAAAAAGAAAAGAAAAAAAAGAAGTGTATTTCTATGGCCTAGATTGGTTATATCCTGTCGTTGTTCTTCTGCAATTTTCTCTAGCCCTCAGAACTGGATGATGGCAACATAGTAGCCCTCTCTAAGTTTTACTCTACAGTGGCATGATGATGCCACTCAACTGTCTTTCAGAAAGAACTTATTGTCCTAGGAGTGTTGTCAACAGTGTTTTCCAGATGTCAGCCCCTTCAGGACAGCCCATATCACGTGTCCAATGGATACAGAGATTATGGTGGCTTCATGAAGTCCTTCTGTTTTTGTCTGAAGGTAGACAACTCTGGTGGGTCTCTTGAGCTCCAGAGATTTCTGGAGGCTTCCAGATGCCAACACGTGGCCTGCTTCACAGCTTGACCCTGACCTCTGCCCAGCCTGGCTTCCTGCCCTCCTAAGATAATGATAGAAGAACACTTTATATCACAGAGTGGGGCACCAAACCCTGCCTTCTCTATATACTGAGTACTCAGCAAATTTTATGCTCTTTGATTTCAGTGTGGCAAATAGATTTTCCATTTTCACTATTTCATATCCTCAATAAAGTTCACTATTGTTCTCTTCTACCTGAGCCTTAAAGGCTTTTTGCAAACTGAAAAAGCTCTAAGATTCCACAATACATTTTGCTTCAGGCAAGTCAGTTTTCTCATAGCTTCCCAAATATATTAATTTCTACTTTTATGTCTTTGTTAATTTCTGCCTAAAACACCCACTATTCTTGTCATAAAATTTCTTTTTACCATTTCTTAATGTCCAGCTAAATTATCATTTCTTTACTAAAGTTTTCTTGCATTCTATATTCATATTTCTATTCTGAATTCCATATATATTTGGAGACAGCAACTCTGAAGCTCAGCACTTAAGTTGCCCCCAAATGTTTCATGTATCTTGATTCTCTTTCAATTAAATAATAGACTACTTTAGAAGGACAATCAATAGTCATGAAATGTGAATAAACATGCCTACAAGGCCTTGCTTAATTTTCTATAGAAATATTCTATTTTAATACAGTGACTTTTAAAAATATTATTTATTTATTTATCTATTTATTTGAGACAGGGCTTCTCTTTAGCCCTGGCTGTCCTGGAAGTAGCTCTGTAGGCCAGGCTGGCCTGGAGCCCAGAGATCAACCTGTCTCTGCCTCCTGAGTGCTGGGATTAAAGATGTGTGCCACCACTGCCTGGCAACATTGATCTTTTTAAAGCTATGGATATTAGGACAGTAGTAGAAATAATAAGCTTAACATTTCAACATTAAAGTGTCCTCATTCAACTGTTCAGGAAGCAAGCTGGTATAAGAATACCAGCTAAGCATGGTTGCAGTGCCTGTTGTAATCTTAGCTCTTGAGAAGTAGAGTGAAGCAGATGATTACCCTTGGCTACCACAGTGAGTTCTGACCAAGCTAGCCTGCCTGGGCTACATGCAACTTTGTCTCAAGATGACAAACAAAACAGAACTAGATAAACAAAATCCTAGAAGAAGAAAAAGATAATGCCCAAATACACTTCTACTTACATTAAGAAATGGGGCTGATGAGACAGCTCAGTGAGTAAAGGCACCTGTTCCTGAATCTGACAACCTGGGCTTGATCCCCAGAAACCACAGGGTAGGAGAGAACTCATTCTACAAGTTATTCTCTGACCTTTATGTATACACTGGGGTACACTGTGCCCACACACATGCAAAATGTGTATGCACACAATGCACATACTATGTAAACAAAAAATGTAAAAATAAAAAATGAAAAAATTGAGAAGCAATGCAAGAGGCATTCTGGGTAAGCATTTTATCTACCTTTTCAAAATCTTCAGTCGTGAATTGTTTAGAAGCTAAATACAGCAACCCTTCAGGATCCGTAGCTTTCTTTAATGTATGTTGCACAGTAGGAAGACATGGGTGGCAAGGAGATGATTCATTGCAGTTAATCAACAATCCAAATGCCTCCACAAGATTAGCTGGGATCAAACTGCAATCCTATATAACCAAAAAGGTAGGGAAAACAATAAGTTAACTAACTGGAAATGGTTAAATACAAATTGATCATCATATTATTTAACCTATCTAGGGATTATTTAATTACTAGAGTTTAATTCCTGAAAAAAATGTGAAACTTATGGAAAGCAACTTTTTTTGTTTGTTTTTCAAGACAGGGTTTCTCTGTATTATTTTGGAGGATGTCCTGGAACTCGATTTGTAGACCTGGCTGGTCTCGAACTCACAGAGATCCGCCTGCCTTTGCCTCCTGAGTGCTGGGATTAAAGGCGTGTGCCACAAACGCTTGACAGAAAGCAACTTTTAAAGAAAGTTCTTACTGAGTATTTATTCTATGTTGTTTATTAAAGCCTTCTGGGGCTCAGACAGTACAGTGCTTGCTGAGTGAGGGGCAGTGAACTCTGTACCCAAGAACCCACTAGAAAGCCTGCGTGCACAGCAGGGGCCTGTACTCTCATTGCTGAGGCAGCAGAGACACAAGGACCCTGGTGAGTTCCAGAGAGACCGTCTTAAAAACTAAGGTAGACTGCAATTAAGGAAGTCATCTGAGTCAGCCTTGACCACACACACACACACACACACACACACACACACACACACACACACACACACACACCTTCACTATTCAAACAAATTTCTATTGACTTAGACATCTAATTTGCATGACTGAAAATTTAGGGGAGGGGATGTAGCTCAGACAAAACAAAAAGAAACATTAAAACTATTATTAAACAATTGGATCATTATTCAGTTGTAATGTCTGCTAAAGCATATAATGTATTAACAACAAAAACACTATGACGTCATATTGCTGGATGTAATAGTGCTTGTCTGCACCCCAGCTCTCTTCACTCAGGAGAATTGCTAATTTGAGGTCGGTCCGGGCTGTATAATGAGTTACAACATTGCCTTGGTTATGTTGTGAAGCCTTACCTAAAAAATGAAGAGGAAGAAATATAGGAAGAGAGAGGTTGGAAGGAAAGAATATCAAGACAAAAAAAAAAAAACAGTTCTCTGAGAAACATTTCAAAGCATTTTTTCTTTTTGAGACAGTTTCATGTAGACCTGGGTGGCCTCAAATTCACTATGTAGCTGAGTTTGCCCTTGAATTGTAATCCTCCTGCTTCCAGGTCCCAAGTGCTAGGATGACAGTAAGGTGGCCTCCAAAACAATATTTTTAGAAAAGATTTATTTATATAGTATCCTGCCAGTGTGTTTGCCTACCTGCTGGAAGAGGGCACCAGATCTCATTATAGATGGTTGTGAGTCACCAAGTGGTTTCTGGGAGCTGTACTGAGGACCTCTGGAAGAGGTCATCTCTCCAGCACCTAAGCAATAGTCTAGCAATAAAATAGTCAGAGTCCTTACCATCTGGCCAATCAGAGTACTGGTTTTCTGGATGTTTCTCCTTGAAGATGAATCCATATCAACAAAAGACCAAAAGCTGCACTGAATAGGAAATGTCATTTGCTGGTCGACATCATCCCCAAACTTTTTTCCTGGGATGAACACCGTAAGGCTTCTGCTCTCCAAAACTGCATCAGAAGACACAACCCTGTGTCATCTACCAATCAGATACTGCACACCTAACAGTTGTCACTGTCATTCTTTTAAGGCTTTGTTGTTCTAGTAGATGCCCATATGTCTACAAATCAATAGCAAATCTCATCATATGAAATGTTACTATCTAAAACAGATTGCTTTACAAAAGATGGTGCTAAAATCACAGCACCTGCCATAAGAAAGAACAAGGTAAGAACACTATTTGAATGTGCCTGTGTTATTTGTTTGAGAATCCCCAGTCCACAGCACATGCTGGAACTGCAGCTAGGGATCTGGGTGGAACAGGCAGAGGACTAGGACACTCACACAGACAGGTTTTCATTTACCCAGGCTGGCCTCAAGCTCAACATATAGCTGATGATAATCAGGGACTTTGATCCTCCTTCCTCCACCTCCCAGGTACTGGGATTATAGGTTTGTGCCACCAAGCACAATGTATGCAGCACTTGGGCAGAAAGCAGGGCTATGTGCATGCCAGGCACACATTCAACTGAGCCACATTCCCAACTTAGTAATGTCCTTTTATGTGGTTAAAAATGATAGAAAGCAGTCCATTCATGAAGGAGTGTCAGAAGACAAAGATGATATGATCCTTGACTGAGGAAAAGTGTATTTCAAACTCAGCATGTTCAAAACCAAAATCATTAAAGCCCTCTACCACTTAAAACCCAAAGAAACAAAAAGTAAAAAGATCTTACATTTTTATTTTTCCTTCACACTTCATAACATTTAATCTTATTCTTAGGATTCTAGCTCACAAATGGATTTCAAATTAATCTTTCAATTCATTTAACAGTCTTTTGTGTTCACATGTTAGACTTTTGTAACTATGAAAAAATACCTGATAGGCAACTTCAAGAGAAGACTCAATTGGCTGTTGTTCTAGAGGTTTTAGTCCATCATGGAGGGGAGGAATGATACACAGAGTGGCTCACATACAGAAGTCAAGAAAGAGAGAATGCTGTGCTCGTTAACTCCAGGGGAAGGTACCATCTCCACACAGGGTTAGTCTTCCTTCCTTAATTTCTACTCTCTGGAATGCCTTCCAGACACACTAAGAAGTGATTTATTAATCTCTTGGGTGTGTCTCAACCCATTCCCAGTGTACAGTCATGACTATCACATTATACTTTTCTTTCCCCTGAATTGTAAATATTTAACCTTATAGAAATTGCCCAAGCAGTTTTCACAATGATCATACTATTTGCTACTACCACCAATAAGGAGAACTCACAGGTTCTACATCCTCAACAGTTTTTCTTGTCAACTGTTGAAACTTTTTTGCCATTCTAGTAGGCAGAACTAGTTACAAAATTTGTGGAGCCCAGTGTAAAGCAAAAATCTAGCATGCTGTTAAAAAGCAGGAAAAAAAATACTCCTATGAAAGGCACTAATATGAACAGCTTTTACCTTTAAATGTATTTTATATGTCAGTTTATATTTATACTTTGTTTTCTTAGAACATTACAAATAAGATATAATAGGAGTGATATAGAAAAACTATACCACTTAGGCATTACTAGTGGGAATGTACAACTGGTGTTTTCCCTCTTGAAACAGTTCAATGGTTAACTGAAAAGTGACCCAGCAATTCCATTCTTGGATACACTCAAAGGAGTTAAGTCTAGGACTTAAACAAATATTTGTACACCAGCACTGTGGTAGTTTGGATGAGAATGGTTCCTATAGACTCCCCACCATAACGGTCATGGTCTCTAACCCTTTGGAATCATAAGCCACAATTTAACCGCTTTCTTTTGTAAGTTGCCTTGGTCATGGTGTTTTATCACAGCAATAGAAAAGTAACTAAGACAAATCCCATAGCAGATTATTCACAATTAGCAAAAAGTAGAAACAAGATTTCTGTCAATACAATGATTTTTCAGCATTAAAAGGGATGGAATTCTGTTAACAGTCAAGTTCATAAAGACAGAAAATGGAATAATATTACTAGGGAGTTAGAATTTAATGAGTATAGAGTTTGCATTTGGAGAGATCAAACCATTCTGGAAATGGAGGGTAATGACAGATGTACACAACTATGAATGTACTGTCTTAGTGCCTGTTGCTGTGAAGAGATACCACAACCACGGCAACTCATAAAAAAGAAGTATTTAATTAGGGCTTCCCTACAGTTTCATGTGCTGTGGAACACTCCTTTTCTACACTGTGAACAAGTGTTACTCTCATTGGTTAGTGAAAAGCTGACAAACCAGTAGCTGGGCAGGAAGTTAGGCCGGGAAGCCGCCTAGAAACTAACAAGACATGATGAGGGAGAGGTAAAGCCATGAGCCACATGGAAATACTTAGATTAATAGAAATGGGTTAATTTAAGTTGTAAGAGCTAGTTAGTAATAAGTCTGAGCTGTTGCCCAAACATTTATAATTCATATTCAGCCGTGCAATCGGGACAGGGAATGTCTGTTTACAAGGAAGCATGGCAGCACACAGGCAGGCATGGTGCTGGAGAGGTAGCTGAGAGCTTTACATCCGATCCACAGGCCGCTGGCAGAGAGTGCAAGGCGGGCGCTCACACTGGCTTTTGAAAGCCTACTTGAACAGCTCCTCCAATAAGGCCGTACCTCTTAATCCTTCCTAACAGTCCACCAGCAGAGAAGCAAACCCTGAAACATATGTGTCCACAGGGAGGGGGCACTTTTGTTCAAAGCACTACACAATTAATGACACAAAAACTGTGCAAAAATTGAAATAGTAACTTCTGAAGGATGTATACATTTGTATTTTTTAAATTACATTTACTTATTCATTTACGTGTGCGTGTAGGTCAAAGGAATACTTTAGGAAGCTGGTTACTTCTTTATACTATGTGGGTCCTAGGTATCAAACTCAGGTCACTGGGCTGATATCAAGCATCTTTACCCACTAAGTCATCTCACCATCATTTTTTGTGAATTTTCTAAAAGAGTCTGGCTATGTAGCCCAGACTGGCCTTAGACTCGCATGTATCCCAGACTAGCTTTAAACTCAGGACCCTTCCTTCCACCTTAGCTTCCAGCATGCTAAGATTATAGGTGTCTGCCACCATGCTTAGCTTAAGTAATATGTATTTTGCTCAAATAAAAACATGAAATAGTGATACATGTTAAAACATGGATGAAATAAGCTAAAAACTTCTTATTTTTTGATAAATGAAAGAAGGCAGTCACAGATCAGATATTAAAGGATTTGTTTATATGAACTGTCCAGATTAGGCAATCCCATAGAAAGAGGGAGCAAATTTGATTCCAAGGGGCAGAAGAGTCTCTTTTTCAGTCAAGGATGGTAAGGAATATGAGCTGCAGTTCTTGGTAAGGGAAAGTAAGGGATTGGACTGTAGTTCATGGTAAGGGAAGATAAGGGATTGGACTATATAGTTCATGGTAAGGGATGGTAATGAATTGGACTGTAGTTCATGATAAGGGATGGTAAGAGATTGGACTGTGGTTCATGGAAAGGGATTGGACTATGGTTCATGGTAAGGGATTGGACTGTAGTTCAAGGTAAGGGAAGGTAATGACTTGGACTGTAGTTCATGATAAGGGATGGTAAGGGATTGGACTATGGTTCATGATAAGGGATTGGACTGTAGTTCAAGGTAAGGGAAGGTAATGAATTGGACTGTAGTTCATGATAAGGGATGGTAAGGGATTGGACTATGGTTCATGATAAGGGATTGGACTGTAGATCATCAACAATGAATGAGAAGTCACTGAGAATCAAAGCAAGAGCAGATTGTGTCCTGAAGGCTACATGAGACTGCCAATGCTCTAAGAAGGTGACAGGACACTATTAATACACACATGGATGTGTTTCCTCTGTCTCACTTGCTTCCTTGCAATATACTGTTTGAAAGGAAAAAGCTATTTCAAAAATTCTTTTTTTGTTGTTGTTTTTGTTTTTTGTTTTGTTTGTTTTTGAGACAGGGTTTCTCTGTGTTGTTTTGGAGGCTGTCCTGGAACTCACTCTGTAGACCAGGCTGGCCTCGAACTCACAGAGATCCACCTGCCTCTGCCTCCCGAGTGCTGGGATTAAAGGCGTGAGCCACCACTGCCCGGCTGAGGTTTTGTTTTTAAATTACTGACTTATGGAAACTCTCTATATCTGAAAGTATCCCTCATGTCCTAGTTACTGTCCCTGTGCTGTAAAAGGACACCATGGCCAAGGCAGCTCCTAGAAGAAAGCATTTAACTGGGGGCTTGCTTACAGTTCAGAGGGTTAGTCCATGATCATGGCTGGGTGTATGGCAGCAGGAAGGCTGGCATGGTGCTGGAGCAGTAGCTGAGAGCTCACATCTTGATGTGCAGGCAGGAGGCAGAGAGTGTATGACTGGGCCAGTCCTTTGAATCCTCAAAGCCCACCCTAAGTGACACACCTCTTCCAACAAAACTGCACCTTCTAATCCTTCTTAAACAGTTTACCAACTAGGAGCCAAACATTCAAATGTATGAGCCTATGGGGGGCATTCTCACTCAAGCCACCACATTTACACAGAAACACAAGTAAATAAATGGAAAGGAATAATCAGATTGCTGAGTACCCTAACTGTCATCATAGCACCTTCAACCAGTAACTGATGGAAGCAGACACAGAGATCCACAGCTAAGCAGTGGGTTGAGCTCCTGGAGTCCAGTTGAAAAAAGGAGGAGGGATTATATGAGCAGTGGGGGGGGGGGCGCAGGCAAGATCATGATGGGGAAACCCACAGAGACAACTGACCTGAGCTAGTGGGAGCTCACAGACTCTATACTTACAGCTGAGGAGCCTGCATGGGACCAAACTAGGCCCTCTGCAAGTGAGCAACAGTTTTGTAGCCTGGTCTGTTTGTGGAACCCCTGGAGGTGGAACCAAAATACATTCCTGGTGCATGAGCTGGATTTTTGGAGTCCATTCCATATGGTGGGATGGATACCTTGCTCAGTCTCGATACAGGAGGAAAGGGCTTGGTCCTGCCTCAACTTAATGTGCCAGACTTTATTGACTCCCCATGGGAGGCCTCACCCTTTCTGAGGATCAGATGGGAGTTGGGTTGGGAGAAAAAATAGGGGAAGGCAGGAAGAAGGGAGGGAGTGGGAACTGTGGCTGGTATGTAAAATGAGTAAAATATTTAAAATATAAAACAAGAAAGAAAGCTGAGTATAAACCTCTCTTTCTGCTTTCTGACTATGGATGCAAAGTGGTGCCTAGAGTCACCATCTTTCTTTCTCTGACAGGATGGACAGTACTCTGGACTGTGAGCCAAAATAAACCTTTTCTTTCAAAGCTGCTTTGTTAAGTATCGTGTTGCAACAGGACAAGCAACTAATACACACTGCTAAAGTAAGACTATTTTGAGCAGGCTGCTACTTAGCTGTTCTGTATACTGACTGTGTCAGACTCCCCCTAAACAAAGTCCTCCTTCCCATGGTCTGACTGTTTACTGAAGCCTTCAAATTTTCCAATAAGGACAAGAACCAAGTGTTTCCAAAGACACGTATCCTCTCTAGGGCTGGTTGGTTTCTGTCTTGGGTGAGGCATCCCTTCATTTTAGAACTCTATAAAACAGGAGTTGGGGGAAGTGATTTTGGTGAGGGTAGCTGCCTGACCTCTAATAAATGCATTTGCTTATTAAGCTGGACTTGTACCTGTTGTTCATGGGGAGGCTGGCACTGTCCACTATGTAGGTAGGTGTTTCTTTTTGCATCTTTCCAGAAAATTCATACAATTATAAACTCTGATTAAATGGGATCTATCTCAGGCATGCTCTGCTGGTGCAATATTCAAAATCAATCAGTGTGGAGTAAGAGGGGTGGCTGAGTGGTTAAGAGACTGGCTGCTTTTCCAGAACATCTGGATTTGATTTCCAGAACCAACATGGCGCCAAACAACTATCTGTAAATCCAGTTCCAGGGGATCCAATGCTTCCTTCTGGCTTTTGAGAGCACCAGGCATGCATGTTGTGAACAGGCAAAACATTCATACTCATAAAATAAAACAGCAAAAACCAAAAGCAAAATCAATATAAACTATTACATCAGTAAAGCAAAAAAAATCACACAATCAAATTAATAGATGTAAGAAAAAAGATCTGACAAAATCCTACACTGATTCATAATAAAACATCTTGACAAAGCAGGAATAGAAGGAAATCTCTTCATCATCAACTTAAAACAACAACAACATCAGCTAGCATGAATACTTAATGGTAAGAAACCTGAAGATCAGAACAACTATTTTTCACATTGTGCTAAAGTCTTAGATACTGTTATAAGAAAAAAAGAAACAAAATTGGCCCAAAATAAAGCCATGTATTAGAACTTAGGGTAAATGCTAAAACAATGCATTTGCAAATCAAATTCTTATTTAATTTCTAAAGTTGAAGTGAGAAATGACGTTTGGTCTAACTTTTACCTCTTAAGCCCCATGTGGTACTATCTCATTTGTTAAATGACTTCTTGGTACTGGCAAGAGTATATTAAAACAGGCAGAAAAACCTGAGAAAGTATTGTGTACCTGACTGAAGCTGTTCCAGTTTATCTTTCTTATGTGATGTCAGGTCTCCTATGAAGCAGACACCACCCTTAGCTAGCAGAGCGCTGCCAGCTTGAATGCTCCCTGCTCCAGTTCCATATTTATTTCTGGACACAGTCGGAAAAACTTCAGTAGACACAGGATGGCGTATACCACGGGAGACAAGATTCATGCTGTAATTCAAAAGTCTAGGGAAAAATAAATTATTCATTATGATATTTAAAAATTAATTTTCAGAGTTCATTACATGCTAAAAACATATTTAAATTTAATTTGTTCCAATTTGTTTATCACTATATATATGAAATATAGTGTTTCATTTGGATAACTTATGGTATAGAGAGACTTAGAGAAATAACTTGTAATGGGATAATTCTAAAATAATTTATTGAGAATATCCAGAAGGGAATATTATGTCCACTTAGAAAGGAATCAGAGAAAGCTATAGCAAGGTAACAATTAAACTGGATCTTTGTTGTTGTTTTATATAGATTATTTTCTTTTATGTATTCCAAATGTGTTCATAAGATTTGTCAATGTCCTCTCTTGACTTTTCCTGCTGTGTCTGTCATGACAACACTTGCTACATCTTCTTTTTTGTTCTTAATATTATTGTTAATTGTCTCAAGGTCTTCAACTCTCCAATTCAAATTATGAGAAGGGATGTTACCTTAGTTTATTGTTATGGTAAATCTGAGATATCCACCTACCACTTATGTGTTGGGGGTTGGTTAGATTTGGGCTTGCGTGAAGTGAATAGATCCTGGTGGCTCCTGCCTGATCAATGCATTCACCTTCATAGATCCATAATGTGATGGCAGATAAAGGGGGCGGAGTCTCTTCAGTAAATAGGTCACTACGGACAGTCCCTGAAAAAAGTAGACCGTGTCTCCTTCCCCTTCCTGTCTCTTTTCTTCTACTTTCTGTCTACTGAAAGATGAGCTGTTTCCTCTGCCATTACTTAGTGCCTCACCTTTGGTCCATAGCAATGGAATATGTAAGTGACAGAATAACACTGTGAGAAAAAAAATAAACCCTGTGTCCTTTGAATTGTTTCTCTTGTGTACTTTCCACAGCAGTAAAAAAATCTGTCTAATGTGGCTATCTTTAAAATCCTTATCATAAAAATTGTACCTTTCTGATACAACCATCCAGATACACAATGCAAAAAGACCTAGGTACTACTGTCTCTTAGATGTAGATAGGCGGGTGCCAGAACATGTATTCAGTGTATGCACCATCACAAAGAATCAACCATCCACGATGACCGGATACAGACATGCAATGCAAAAAGACCAGGTAGTGCCCTTAGATGTAGACAGGCAGGTGCCAGAACATGTGTTCAGTGTATCATGGGCACAAAAAGCTAGTCTTGGGGTATGTAACACATAGGGCACTTAGACAGGAACATTTCTAGCCTGAAATGAGCAGTGGTTCTTAGCTGTAGAGCATATTAAAATCATGTAGGGAGTTTCTGTTTTGTTTTAAAAGAAATTCTGATGCTCATTTCTACTCCTCAACTACTCAAAGTAGGATTTTTAAGGTGGTATACACGGTTTACATTTTTTGTTGTTTCGTTTTTCAAGACAGGGTTTCTCTGTGTAACAGTCCTGGCTGTCCTGGAACTCACTGTGTAGACCAGGCTGGCTTCAAACTCATAGAGATTCACCTACTCTACCCCCCAAGTGCTGGAATTAAAGGCATGCACCACCATTGCAGAGCAAGTATCTTATATTTTGAGACAAGATCTTACTATATTGTCTTGTTGATTTCAAGACTGACTAATCAGAACTCTGTACTACTAGCCTAAGTATAAAACAAAAAATTCATAACAGAAAATAAAGTTCAAATAGATTTATACTCAATTTGATTTTACACTCTAGTTTAATGGTACTAGAATCATTAAGTAAAGAAAGGAAAGCCTTATAATAAATGATGTAGGAAAACTGCATAGGAAAACCATCAACTTTCACTATACTCTACACCATATACAAATGTTAACTCAAGGGCCAGTCAGACAGCTTAGTGGTAAAGACACTTGCCTGGCAACTTGAGTTCAGTCCCTGGAACACATGCTAAGGTGGAAGGCAATAACACTATAAAGTTGCCCTCTGACCCCCATGTGCACTCTGTGGGATGTGCACTCCTTCCACAACATGAACACATGGGGAGAGGAAGTTAAATTGAATGTAGAAAAAAGACCCCCCCCAAAAAGCCAAAATATTATACTTCTAGAAAGAAAACAAAGAATTTTTTTTTTTTTTTTTTTTTTTTGGTTTTTCGAGACAGGGTTTCTCTGTGGCTTTGGAGGCTGTCCCGGAACTCACTCTGTAGACCAGGCTGGCCTCGAACTCACAGAGATCCGCCTGCCTCTGCCTCCCGAGTGCTGGGATTAAAGGCGTGCGCCACCAACGCCCGGCGAAAACAAAGAATTTTTACAATCTCTGAGTAGGCAAAAATTTCCTAACTGGACTCAGAAAGTATGAAACATAAGAGAAAATACATTGGACTTCCTTAAAATTGAAGTGCCTTCCCATCACAGACATGTTTTAGGAAACTCATAAAAAGCAAGCTTTTGGAGTAGAAATCTCAGTCTGCTCATGTGACAAAAATGCATCTAAAGAGCTTATCCTAAAAAGCGAGAAAAACGTAACATTTAAGAAGATATGCAAGTGGTCAGTAAACACATGAAGAAGAGCTTAGCTCAGCAGACATGAGGGAAATGCCAGGTGGAAACCTGAGGCACCGTTTCACTTGTACTGAAAAGGCTCATACAATAAAGGCTGACAACCCAAATATCGGCAAGGACAGAGACAAACAGAATCCCTACATTGGTTTTTTGTTTGGTTTGGTTTGGTTTGGTTTTTCCAGATAGGGTTTCTCTGTGAAGCTTTGGAACCTGTCCTGGCATTATTTCTGTAGACCAGGCTGGCCTTGAACTCACAGAGTTCTGGGATTAAGGTGTGTGCCACCAACGTTTGGCCTACATTGTTGACAGGAATGTTGAAAGCTGTTTGGTGGTTTGTAGTATAATTTAAAGTGCATCAACCTTACATCCTAGTAATGCTATTCCAGACCTTTATTCAAGAAAAAGGAACACTCCGCACAAGTTACATAAAAATGTTTACAGCAGGGATGGGCAGGTGGCTCAGTGGTAGAGGGCTTGTCTACTACATACCAAGCCCTGAGATTGGTCCCTATTACCAAAAAAAAGTGATAATAGTCAGGATGGTTTATTTATAATAGCCCAAACATGCGCAATGCAGATAGCCATCATTGGGAGAAGAATAAAAGCATTGTGGCATACTCATATTAAGGGACTCCTCAATAAAAATGACAAACTATACTGACTCATACAAGTGAATCAACCTTAAAAACACATTGAGCAAGACAGACCATACTCAAAAGAGAACACTTGCTAATGTCAAGTTCAAGAAGAGGAAAATTAGACGAGTATGGTGGTGCACCCTTTAAATCCCATCACTTGGGAGGCAGAGGCAAGTGAATCTGAGTTCATGGCCAGCCTGGTATACAGAGTAAGAGTTCCAGGACAGACAAAGCTACACAGAGAAACCCTGTCTTGGAAAAAAGGAAGAAGAAAGAAAAAGAACAAGAAAATTATGTTATGGTGGTAATAAGTGGAAGGAAGACTGAAATTAATTTTAAGAGTAATAGTATTGTTTTATTAAGGGTATGGTTTATAAGAGCGTACACATTTGTGTATACACTGGATATTTTTGCCATCCTGACACAAACTATTGTCACCTGGGAACTGCCTCCATCAGATTGGTCTGTGGGCATGTCTGGCAGATATTTTCTTGACTAGTGATTGATGTGGGAGAGCCTAGTCACTGTGACCTGTGTCACCCCTGGGCAGGGTTGTATAAGAACGGTAGCTGAACAAGTCACAGCAAGCAAGTCAGTAATCAGTGGTCTTTTCTGGTTCTGTGCATAGGCTCCTGATTGAGCTCCTGCCCTGACTCCCTCAATGATGGATTGTAATGTATAAGCTGAAACAGGGCCTTTCTTCCCCCAATGTGCTTTTGTGTCATGGTGTTTATCACAGCAATGGAAAGCAAAATAGAAAAATCTGTCAAAATGCATTGTTTTTTAATAATAAAGATAATGGGAGCTGGAGAGATGGCTTAGCAGTTAAGAGTACTGGCTTCTCTGATCTTCTAGAGGTTCTGAATTCAATTCCCAGAAACCACATAGTGGCTCACAACCATCTGTAATGGGATTCAATGTCCTTTTTTTGGTGTGAAGGCATACATGCAGACAAAATACTCATATACATAAAATACAAATAACCTTTAAAAATAATAATGATAAGATCTGATTATATCACTATATATAAATTTTATCTAACACTAACTAACTAAATAAACAAATTTCTCATATAATCCAAATTGTCATAAGAAAAACCAAAGGTTGATGGCAAACAGGAAAAGAGAAAAAAGGTTTTAATTTATAATAGATATCTCCAATTAATAAGAAATAGATAAATAATACAATAGAAAATTGATAATGATTAAAAATAGGAAGTTCACAAAACAATGTGTCTAATAAGCTCAAAATCATCATTACTTACAATTAAAGAAGTGCAAATTTTACCTTGTTAAAATAACTTTTTCTACTCACTAGAAGTAAAAATTTAAAAGCTTGATAATCCCCAAAGTTAGTGAGACTAAGAGAAGCAGTTTCAAGCGGTTAGTGCAGGATTAAATTCATACAATCTGTTGGATTTAACACCGCATTGACATTGCCAGTGATGGTTTAATTTTAGCCAAACATTATCTACCTAAATAAGTTAATGTTAATTTGAATTTTAAAATCTCTGACTCTACAAATGTATTTTCTTTCACAATTGCATCCTAGCTATAAGAAGCTTCTTCCTAGCTTTAGGAGCAGAGGGCAACTTCCTTTTAGAGGCACTCACTAAGTAGGCACTTAGCCCAGACTAGGAAGTGATCCTCACCCCAAAGACAACCAGGGAGAATCTCACATCTTTACTTATATATAGGGAACCTGTATCACTGAATGGAATCTGTCATAAAAGTAAGAAAATGGCCACCGAATCCTAGGCGGAAGATTATTTACAAATAAAAGGATAAAAGCAAAATACTGAGTTAAAGAGTGTTGGACAAGGAAGCCTGAGGAAAATGCTTTTGGAAGGTCTAACTGGGGAAATGGGTTGACATTGTGAGGTTAGATTCTTAAAATATTAAAAGCAAATATTTCAGTTCTAAAAGCATGTTTTAAAAGTTTCAAACTTTATTAATAACAATTTGTTGAAACACTTTAGTCTTCAGATGAATTCTAAGTAATCATCTTATAGTATTATCAGTAGGAAGGATTTATACAATTATGTGAGCAATATATAACTTGAAAACTTCATGGCACACATCCTACCTACCTATCTACAAGCAGACTGTCACTGGTGATAATTAAAATATCCAAGCAGTCTTCAGAGCCCTTGTTGCAGTCACTTGTCTGTACTAGACTCATCAACAAGCAGAGTTTGAGCAAATTGTAGGTCCCAGGAGGGACGATCTGCGAGGCGAAGACATTGGCAAGTATTGCCGTGAATTTCCAGCATGAGTTGGAAGTCAAGGACAGGAGACACCTGAAGTTGTCACTAATTCCTGAAGGAACTGAAAGAAAATAAAAATGACAGGTATTTGATTCCATTTGCCCAAAATAATATCAAACTATAGTTTTCAGTTGTGCCATACTCAAATTTTATGATATGATTGTGGTCATGCTTGTCCATCATTTCGTATCTTGGTCACCTAATGCACCCACGAGAATCAGTTTTACAGGGAAGGCAGATCGTTTGTTCTCCTTTGAAAGCCTGTGTGGGACAAGCAGGGATGGACTTCTGTTCTGCTGTGTTTGCGCCTGCCCACAAACGCTGGCGTGTTGTGCTCTGCGGGATTTATATTCTCCTACTTGGAAAACACTGTGCTATGCTGCACTGTAACATTCCAAATTTTCTTCACCCTGACGCCTTCCAGCTCCTGGGAAAGGTAAATGGTAGAGGAGAAGCTGTGCATGGCTATCCCTGCTCTTGGCCTGGGCTGCTCTCACAGCACAGACCTCCTCTGCTCACACATGTCCGTGGACAGGACAGGATATCTTTTTTTTTTTTTTTTTTTTTTTTTTTGGTTTTTCGAGACAGGGTTTCTCTGTGGCTTTGGAGGCTGTCCTGGAACTCGCTTGGTAGTCCAGGCTGGTCTCAAACTCACAGAGATCCGCCTGCCTCTGCCTCCCAAGTGCTGGGATTAAAGGCGTGCGCCACCAACGCCCGGCAGGACAGGCTATCTTAGCCTAACTCTTGGCACAGATTGGTGCTTACATCTGTGGATTCCTAGAGTTCAACACGAGAAATCAGACTTTCCACCTCCATTTGTGTTCTGCTAACAAACAGTAAGTCGTGAAGTACAATGAAATGGTCACCAAACTGTTGATTTATGTTGCTTGCTTTCCTCAAGATTTCCATTCGTTTAAGGAGAATTCTCTCCTTGATAAACTGAAGTGTCTAGGGTTTACTTGTGTTTAAATTCAAGTTGGTCTTCTATTACTACAGATTCTGAACTTCCATTCTATACTCAAATTTAACCAGCCCTTCCTATGTCAGTATGAAGCAAGTGAGAAGGGCAGGGCTGCTTTTCATTTTTTAGACACGTGATGCTAAATTATGTGGCGCTGTCCAGGGACACTGCTGGCAAGGAAGGTGATGTTTTAGTCCCCTGCCTTTACCTGTTCTCTTTTCAGGACCCAGGAAAGAAAAATGTACAGCTTACCGATGTCTTCCTCAGGCCACAACAGTTACTGTGAACAGCCTTAGTGAGGAAATGACTGGCTTACCTCTTGGTACCCTGAAAGAGTTTCTGTTTCTTACTATGTGTACTCCAGATCGAGCAAGCCTCTGCCACCAAGCACTAGGCTTGTTAAGTGTGTGCTACCATGCTCAGAAAAATGTCAGAAACATTTTGCTCATTGCTAACTTACAAAACCAACGTTAAGATGTAGTTCAAGAAAGGTCCTTAACTCCATCATGATTGTAATCACTGTATTTCCTTCCTTAATGACACCTGGGTGCAGGGCCTGTGTCACTGGCTAGTGACTTTTATTTGGAGGTAGAGCCTTGCTATATAACCCCAGCTGAGTGACATCTTATTATGTAGCTCAGGCTGGTCTTAAGCTTGTGCTCTGCCTCTCCAGTGCTGGGGTTACATGTGTGAACCACCACACCTGGCAAAACTGTTTGCTGAGTAGATGGACTTAAATATGTTAAAATATATGATTTAGCTTACCTTTTGCTGTATAAGGAGTGATACTATTTGCTTCTATACAGAGAGCAGTTTGTGAAGTTTTGACACAGACTGGAATTCCAATAATTTTATATTCATTTCCTATTTTCATTTTATCCACTAGCTCATCTATGGTTATTAAACACAAAAGAAAATAGTATTCACTAAGTGAAACATTTAGTAGTTGGGACAATTCAGTAGTTGGGTTAGTAGTGAAGTATTTACTTCAGTTCAGTATAGTATCCATATGCAATGGACCAATAATGGAAACCAAGGCCATTTTATTGCTGGCATATGTTAATATTTATAGGGAATATGAATTATCTTCAAGAGGCATGTGATATATAAACTAGGTTAATTAATATTCACCTATAATGCAACCAAGAGGAAAAATACCATTCTTTTATTTATTTATTTATTATGTATACAGTGTTCTGTCTGCATGCATGCCTGCAGGCCAGACAACGGCATCAGAGCTCATTAATAGACAGTTGTGAACTGCCATGTAGGTGCTGGGATTTGAACCCAGGTCCTCTGGAAGAGCAGCCAGTGCTCTTTACTCCTGGGCCATCTCTCCATCCCCCAGAAAATACCATTCTATATAGATAAAACATCTTTCAATTAAATGCTAAAGAATGTTAATAAGTTGGGCATGGTGGCACAAAGTGCCTGCCATGCACTTTATTGGGCATGGCTGGTCACATCTGTAACCTCAGTGCTAAATGGTATAGTGGAGAGACAGGCCAATTCCTGGAGCTCATGGGCTAGCCAGTCTAGCCCAATGGATAAACACCACATTCTATGAGAGAGATTCTGTTTCAAAACCAGGGTGTAAAGAGATGTGTAAGATCTACAGCATTGATCTCTGTACATGCCCATATACTACAAATACCACACACACACACACACACACACACACACACACACACACACCCTTCCTCTATCCCTTAAGTCTCCTCTCTCACCTGAACACAAGCATTGAATGTCTCAAGCCAACCAAACAACAATGATAAACCAATTAAAGAATGTAGAATTACAAGCGTCATGACTCTAAATGAATACTTTTAATTTCTCAAATTTTAGTACAAAGGAAAAGGTGAAACTCTATTTCTGTCACAATTCTAGCTTCCCTAGGTGCCTTATCCTGTGAATCATGTCCTACTTCATGGCAGACACTTGTCTCCTTGTACTTACCAATCAGTTTTCAACAAATAGTCATATGTGAGTGTCATTCTCATGTTTAACAAATATTTACTATGTGCAACAAATTCTCCAAATCTCTTTTTTTCCTGATATTCATATTCTAATAGTCTTTTTTTTTGAGATGGGGTCTCACTGGCTGGTCTGGCCTGGAACCTTCTATGTAGATTAGACTGGCCCTGAACCCAGAGAGTGCCTCTGCATGATGGGATTAAAAGCACACACTGTCACATCTGGCTCCATATTCTAATAGCAACACAAAGCACATACATATAGAACAATGTGCTATCATTACTATAATGAGGCCATGACTCTGGGACTTGGAAACTCCTGATAAAGATGACTGGTGTGGGGGTTGTCTCTGACTCTTTTGCCTGCTCTTGTGACCCTTGACATGGGGGTTTGTGCCAAGTCTTGTAACTTGTGCCATGTTTGGTGGATATCCCTGGGAGGTCTGCTCTTTTCTGAAGGGAGACGGAGGAGGAGTGGATCTGGGGGGACTGGAGGAGAGTAGGGAAGGGAGGCTGCAGTCAAAATGTGATGTATGAGGGATGAATGAATAAAAGAAAAAAGAAGGCGACCTTCCATTCTTAAGTTTTCAGGATGCTTCTAATCCGAGAACATAAACAAGATTCTATATTTTATAGCAATTTTTAAAAATTCAAACAGAATATAACATACCTCTTAGGAAAATACTAAGTGACTGAAACCTAAATGGCTGGCTTTTAGAATCTCCTTGAAAAGCATGAAGCACTTTTATGGTAATTATTTCAACTATCTGTTTATCTTAAGGCAAAGAACAAAAGAAATTGTTAATAGAATACATATTGAATTTGTTTCTTATTAAAATAGGAAGAGACTATTTTGAACATTATCACAAAATGTAAGTGTATTTTTTTTACCACCAAGTACTCTAAATTTTCTGTCTTCTTCCAGTGAAGATGAACACAGATTGCATGAAAAGTCATTTCTTACTGTTGCAGATTCAGTAGCACCAGGCACATGGACTCTTATATACTGAAATCCTGAAAGAAAACAGTGGTGAACCAAGCTACTCTCAGATTTTGCTATCTTCAATCATTTACTATTATCAGTTAGTGTTTATTGCATGCTTTGCTTATTTACTTGGACAGGTTGTCACTGTGTAGTCCAAGCTAGCCTTGAACCCTCCAACCTCTTGTCTCAGCCTCTCAAGTGCTAGTGACATGGCTGTTCCTTTCCAAGCACTGTGCTAAGGCACTAGTAACATGGGCATTTTAATACACAATGTCTGTATGTGACAGTAAGAAACGTAATTTTAGTATATGGCATCATTTGCAGAGTTCAGAGAGGAGAGACGAAGCAGCCAAGTCAACCTGTTTTGAGGGTCAATGGAGAAGATGTCTCACACAACAGCTGACTAGGTTAAACCTTAAGCACAGAGGGAACTGCACAAGCAAACAGTTCTCCTTTGCTCTTTCAGGATAATATAAACACTGATTAAACTGTGTCATGCAGGAAAAGACTGTCTCAAGATTATGCATAGTAAACATACAAACCTTAGGAGGCACCAAAGTAACTGTTTATTACTCTTTGATTAGTCACCAATCGTAAATATGGTCTGGGATGAAACAGCTTGGTTTTTCACTTCCCGTTTGAACACTGACCTTTTGAAAGAGGGCACACTTCATCTGAACAGAGGAATCTTGCACCTTGTGTGTACTTGGTTACAGTTGTCGTTGCAATCACAATTCCTTGCATCATATAAAATCTTTCAGATGTATAATTAAGTGGAAACTCACAAAGATCAAGACTATAACTCGGAAGGGGAGGTAAATGAGTTAACTTCAGCACAATGTTGATCTGATAAGAACACAAAAAGGATATTAATAAAACTTGCAATTCAATTTGACTTGGTTTATTATATAGTAAGAATACTATGTAGTTTGTTATTGTTGCTATGAACCAAATATTAAACCAGATAAAACATGAAATTTAAATACAAATCCTGTAACATTTTAATTAAAAGTCTCACAATGAACTCATTATTTTTTCTTTAAAAATACTCATTATCTGGATACTTATACAAAACAAAAAACAAAAAACAAAACCCAAACAAACAAAAACAATTCCAAACCAAAAGCATTGGAAACTTCAGTGCTCAAATTGTGATCTCAAAATCTTAATTCTCACTGAAAAGAAACAGAATTTTTCAGCAGGAAATCAGTAATTCCAAGTCTGGGGCAGAAACTACAGGAGATTGCACTGGGGCATCTTCTTTACATTTTTTAAAGATTGTACTTATTACACACACACACACACACACTCACTCATACACACACATATGTGCACGTGCACGCGTGTATAGATCGAAGACAATATAGGGATCAGTTTTCTCCTTCTACCATATGAGTCCTAGGGATGGAACTCAGGTATTCAGGTTTGGAGGCAAATGATTCTACCTGCAGACATACTAAAGAATTCACTTCCTCAGAGGCAGGCGGATCTCTGTGAGTTCGAGGCCAGCCTGGTCTACAGAGCTAGTTCCAGGACAGCCTCCAAAGCTACACACAGGGAAACCCTGTCTCGAAAAAAAAAAAAAAAAAGAATTCACTTCCTCTTGTTGAAAAAAAGAAAAGAAATATCAGCCATTATTACAGTTGCTACCTGTTTTCAAATCATTACTCTTCAAAACTTTTAAAATAATTAAATATTTATACTGCTGTTTCCAAAAGTTGTATTTCATAGTAACCGAATAAATGATGATAAATAACTTATTTTTATTCTCATTTTTTAATACTAGAGGTTAAAATCAGAGCTTGCCTATGCTAGGCAAATGCTTTCCTACCCAGCTATATCCCAAGGCCAAATAATTTTCTTTTACAGAATAATTTCAGATAATAAATTCAGAAAGGGTGGCAAAAGTAGAGAAATTTTAATGAAATAATAGACTCCAGGTATTCTAAAACCATCAAGTGAAAGTGGATAAGAAATGTTATAATGATGGGACCATAGCAATAGCATCTGAACCACTGATCAACTGTGACACCACTAAATGGCATCTATTATATCCTTAAGATGTGGACCGTATAACAATATGTAGCGTGCTGTTAGAATGCGTAGAATCTAGATTTAAGCTCAGAATCACATCTCATTTTAGATATACATAGGACACAGGGAAATGACATATCATTATGGTATCATAAGAAAGTAATTAGAGGGTTGGAAAGTTGACTCAGTGGTTAAGAGCACTGACTGTTCTTCCAGAGTTCCTGAGTTCAATTCCCAGCACCTGCATGGCAGCTCACAACTGACTGTAACTCCAGTTCTTGGAGATCTGATGCGCTCATACATGCAGACAAAACACCAATGAAAATGAAATAAAAAAGTAAATATTTCTTAAAAAGAAAGTAATCAGACAGAACCAGATTTATAATATTTTACAGGATAATCAGTTTCTTTTAAAAAGTCAGTGTTGCCGGGCAGTGATGACGAATGCCTTTAATCCCAGGACTCAGGAGGTGGATCTCTGTGAGTTTGAGGCCAGCCTGGTCTACAAGAGCTAGTTCCAGCACAGCTGAGCCTATAAAGAGAAACCCTCTCGAAGCCCTCCCCTCCAAAAAAAGTAAGTGTTACAAAAAGCAAGGAGTGGGTAGCCCTAGATGGAGAAGACTCAGATGGCCATAGAGAAGAAGCCTGCTGCAACATGTGACCTTGTTTAGATGCTAGTTTGTTTTCCTTTTGCTGGGGTGGAGGTGGTGGCGGGGGCTTAGGTTGCTTTGCCTTTTTTTTTTTTGAGACAGGCTCTAATATAGCCCAGGCTGGCTTTATTCCCTGTGTAGCAGAAGAAGACTTTAAACCACTGATCTTTCTGTTTCTACCTTTCAAGTGATGGGGTTATAGGGCATTCACTACCTCATACAGGCTTTGGTACTAGCTCAAAAACAAACAAACAAAAACAACAATTAAAAAAACTCTCCAGGTAAGAATTGGAAAAATTAAAATACGGACTAGATATTAGATGATATCAAGAAAGGTGATGACGACGTTGTGGTTACATAAGATAAACACAAGACTTTAAAGTGGATACTAAAGTATGTGTGGGGTGAGATACAGAATATCTGGGATATGTTTTAAAATAGTTCAGATAAAAATAGATGATGCAAATACACTGTATCACTGAGTTTGAACGATAGATATAGGGAAGCCCATTGTCTTAATTAATCTCTTTACTTTTGAAACGGTTATAAAAATATTTACTCTTCAAAGTGGTAGGTAATATGGAGAAAATGAAGTGTATTGAGATATTTGTAGTCAATGCTGGCTGTCAACTGGGGTTCAGTTACACTGGTAAATGTATTAATTTATTTATTTTTTGGTTTTACGAGACAGGGTTTCTCTGTATTGTTTTGGAGGCTGTCGGTCCAGCCTGGCCTCGAATTCACAGAGATCCGCCTGCCTCTGCCTCTGCCTCTGCTGGGATTAAAGGTGTGCGCCACCACCACCCGGCTAGGTAAATGTATTCTTGAGAGATGATTTACCACGGGAAGCTCATCTCCTCTGAACATGGGTAGGTAGCCATGGGAAGCAGACCTGTCCTGAATGTGGGTAGCACTGAACAAATCCTTTCTCCTTTAAATAGCTTCTGCCAGGTATGTTGATACAGCACTGAGACCTGGACACAGAGGCCTGTGAGACAACTGAGCAGTTCGACCTCTTACTGCAGATTGACAGCCTGATCAGAGTTCTGTGCCCATTCTCTGTCCTACAGACACCAATGATGGAATGAATAAATAAAAATAACAAATAAATGGAAAAAATCCGACAAAATAGTATATTGAACCTTGGGAGATGTACTCTTTTTAAATTTTTTTTTCGGTGCAAAAGCAAAGAGTCTTTTATTGTAGTTGTTTAACGAGCTAACCCCATTAGCTCAGGCCTTTCATCCATTCACCAAGGCAGACAGCCAGAGAAAGACCTTAAATTTTTATTTATTTATTTATTTATTTATTAATTATGTAGGAGTGCTCTGCAGGCCAAATGAGGGCATGAGATCCTATTATATATAGAGATGGCTGTGAGCCACTATGTGGGTGCTGGGAAGTGAAGTCACGTCCTCTAGAAGAGCAGCCAGTGCTCTTAACCACTGAGCCATCTTTCCAGCCCCAGAAAATGTACTCATTAGTGAACTTATGAAAAGAGTGATTTATTTTGAAAACTTACTTGAGTTTCAGTCTGTAACTGTCCAATTAATGAGAGAGTCTTAACAGCAACAAAGCAGACCTGTGATTTCAAATGAGCAAACCGGTTACCAAATGTTCACGTGGATGGGGAAATGATTTTCTTCTTTAACTTACTGATTGAAACACTTGAGCAGCTTTTAAGGGATGGTGTAAAATGTGGTTTCCAAGTGCAGCATCTAACTCTACAACATCAGAGGGATTTATTAAAATATTGAACCGATAGACAGCATAACTTTGGTTTGAATCTGTGGAGATATAAAGGTGAAAGTAAGGACAGGCATGTGTAGGAACCTGCCAGAAGGTTCTCAAGAGCCGCCTTCGCTGGCATACCGTTGTAGTGCTTGCAGTCATCCATAAACTTTTGGAGCCCTCCACTTCTGTCAAGATAGACAAGGGCTGCCTCTTTCATTTGTAGATTTGTCATTTTCTCCTTGTTGATGGTTTTCTCTATTATTAGCAAGTTAACCACAGTTGCTGGTAGAGATTACAAGTGATGAAACCTATATAAAGAAAGGAGAAACCTAGAAACAAAATAAAGCTTTCTTTTAAGACCTCTATAAAACTTACAAATTATTAAATTGAGAATACAGCTAGGTAAACTTCCCAACTCTAAAACCTTCCAATTGAAGGAGAAACAAAACCTTTTGGTTGGACCCGACCTCATACAAGCAAGCATGTCTCACTGAGTCATACTTCCATTCCCAAATAACACTTTAATCAACAGTTAGTTAGTTATGAGTTCAAAGGCCACAAGCTTACCAGGATGCTCACATGTCTTTCCAGCTCAGATACTGCAAAATGAAAGTTGAAATGAATAATCTTAGATAACGATAATCTCCTGTAAGCATAGACTGAAGGATGAATGTGTTACAAATTGTTTGATAAATTTGCTCTGGAATGACTCACTGGGTAAAGTTGCCAAGCCTGATGAGTTAAGTTTGATCCCTGGGACAAACATGGTGGAAGGAGGGAACTAACTTCAGCAAGTTGCCCTTTGATCTCTCACACTTGGATGTACACACACAGACACAGATGTAACAAAATAAATACTATAGTATTATGAGGGCCATGGTGGAAGGAGGGGACTAACTTCAGCAAGTTGTCCTTTGATCTCTCACACTTGGATGTACACACACAGACACAGATGTAACAAAATAAATATTATAGTATTATGAGGGCCAACTTGAAACGTCTGAGAAATGGTACTTGACCCAGTATTTGTTGGGGAAATTGGCTGACCTCTCTTGGCTCAGTGTCTTTAGCTGAAGGAGACAAAGGCATTGGACAGTTAAGGCCTCTTTCAGCTTTAAATCTTTGTCAGGGACAAACATAGAACATTAAACTATAGTAGAGAGGGGGATATAAAAAACTTATTTGAGCAGAAAACACAGATTAGAAACAAAATATGCTACAGTCACTGTGATGTTTATTAGGAATGATATGGTTAAGATTGGAACCTGCCTGTAAGGAATCCAATTTAGAGAAGTCAGAAATAATGACTAACACATGTACTGAATCATTATCAACTGTTTGATGTCTATTATTATTGGGTAGCCCACTTTCCCTAGGTTCCAGGAATACAAAATTAGCATCTATCATTTGTAAGAGTACAGCAGGTGAAGCAGCTATGCAAACAACTATGTGATAATTTGTAATAGAAATATGACTGTCAGCGACCACAGAACATGGTAAGTGAAATACTTCACAAAATCCAGGCCATGCTCATGTATGGGCCATGATGTTTTTCTATTGCTTTGGATTCTTTTGGTTGATGACAGTGAGCTAACAAAAAGCTATGCAGTCTACTTTGAAGGGATAAGGTGAGTTTCTCTGAGGCCCTAAACACCATAATGCTTTCCTGGAGAACCTGCCTAGCATGCATAAGGCTGGCTCAATCCCAACACTGCTAAAATAAATAAATATATAAAGTAAGTTGATTGCAGTCAGTGAGTATTTCTAAAATGGGTAGAGTTTTCCAAAGATAATGACTGACATCCCCATTAAGAGTCATACATCAGCCGGGCGTTGGTGGCGCACGCCTTTAATCCCAGCACTCGGGAGGCAGAGGCAGGCGGATCTCTGTAAATTCGAGACCAGCCTGGACTACCAAGCGAGTTCCAGGACAGCCTCCAAAGCCACAGAGAAACCCTGTCTCGAAAAACCAAAAAAAAAAAAAAAAAAAAAAAAAAAAAAAAGAGTCATACATCAGTGAATTCACCGCTATGTTAGGGTCAGAATCAATAATTTTGAAGGCTGACATCCTTAGAAAACCAGGTTTCTGCCGGGGGTGGTCATGCACACCCTTAATCCCAGCACCTGGGAGGCAGAGGCAGATGGATCTCTGAGTTCGAGGCCAGTCTGGTTTACAGAGTGAGTTCTAGGACAGCCATGGCTACACAGAGAAACCCTGTGTAAAAAGAAAAAAAAAAAAAAAAAAAGAAGAATCAGGTTTCCGAAGTTGGAGGACATTGGGTGAAACATTCGAGTAAAGCCAGACTGAGACTGAGTTTTGAAGTACAAGATGATTATATAGGAAAAGAGAAATTTAAATTTACAAAGCTTTTGAAATCAGAATTAAACCCATTTTATTTATTTTTGAAGTTAGTTTTTTCTGTTGCCTGTGTGGAGAATGCTTTGAAACGGCAAACAGCCAATTACGGATTTTCAACTAGTGTTTTCTTTCTAAGAGATGGACTAGTCCAGGGTATTTGGAACAAAATGGAATGAAGACAATGAATTCTAGAATTTTTATTTTTTATTTATTTAAGATAAGGTTTCTCTGTGTAGCCCTGATTATTCTGGAACTTACCCTGTAGACCAGTTTGGCCTCAGAGATCCACCTGCCTCTGCCTCCCAAGTATTGGGATTAACGGCGTGCGCCACCATCGCCCAGCGAATTCTAGAATTTTAAAGACTCCATTCTGGACCTCATGACCAAGCTGTACAACACAGAGAGGAAAATATCAGTCCAGGCCGGGTCGTGGTTGCACACATTCAGGAAGCTGGGCAGACAATTCAGAGATAGTTTCTGTAGTCTCATATTTGTAGGCAAATATGAGCTCTAAACTAGTCTGAGTTGCACAGGAGAGCCTGGACTTGAAATCAACAGCTGTGATGCCCAGGGCCAGGTTCCATCCCAGCACCTCCAAGTAGGGGAGTTTTCAAGTAGCAGGTGTGGGAGCCTCAGACTCTCAACAGTCAGGTAGGAAAGAGGGTGACGAGGAATTGGGTCTGGAGTTCAGGGGCTTCAGAAAATGAACACGGAGCCCAGTTGTCGGCCAAGAATTAAGTCTTTCTGGATATGGGGGCGCTCGAGTTTAATCCCAACACCCGGGTGGCAGAGGCAGGAGGATCTCTGTGCAGTTCGAGGCCAGTCTGGTCTACAGGGTGAGTTCCAGGACAGCCAGGGCTACAGAGAAACCCTGTCTCGAAAACCGCCACCACACACACACACACACACACACACACACACACACACACACACACACACACACACACACACACCATTCACAATTAGGGAATTATGAGGAGAAAATGAGGAGAAAAGGACACAGGGCGACTGGGATATTCCAAGTCTTCCCTCCTGTCAGGGCTGAGGGAACCGAGAGGAGCTGAGGAGACCAAAGCTCGCACAACCCAGAACTCAGCCACGAGAGTCCCCCAGTCACCTGGAGCCCCGCCACTCCGGCCGCCTCTGGAACCAGACCCACCTGCGTGCGCGACCGCGTGCTCTGCAGCGGGCCTCCTGCGCACGCGCACTCCCCCGCACCCCCCCACCCCCCCCACCCCCGCTCCGGACCGACCGTTGGCGGGCACCGGGCCTGCTGGGACCTCAGCCCTTCAGTCACCAACGCATCCATCCCCCCCCTGTACCATCACAGTTCACTCCCCGAAAGAGATGGAGCCACGTCTGCTTTTGTTATCTAGCCACTGACATCTGTGTAAAAAAATAAAAAATCAAATTCTGCTGGCGGGGATGCGAAATAGCTCTGTAAACGTTGAGGCAGACTCTCAAGGGGCTAATTCCGATTGAATCGAAAACGTGTCCACAGAAAAACTTGCACACGTAAAGTCATACTATTACTCGTAACTGCCTTGAAGTTCACACCCCAGTGTCCAACTAGCGTCAAACAGACGTGGTATAGCAACGCAGGACAACACAGTGTTCTTCGAATTAAAAAGAGAATTTAGTGCTGGCACAATATGGATTGCTCGTGACTGCATTGTTCAAGATGAAAGACACAAGAGTCATGTGCTGTGTGATGCCATTTATATGAACTATCCAGGATAGGCAAACAGGTTGATAAGGGAGCAGAAGGTGACTGATACTGGGTAGGGGATTTCCCCCCTAAAATTATGGTAAAACACACACAACAAAGTGTATCATTTTAGCCATTCTCAAGTGGAAGCTGAGTGGCACTAAGTTCACATTGTCTCGAAACTGCAACAATCTTTCCAGTACTTTTTCATCTTCCCTAAACTCCCTAGCATTTAGTGATTTCCCAAGTGCCTGGCAATAATTATTCTGTCTTCTTGAAGTTGGCTACTTCAGAACTCAAAGATGGAATCACACAGTATTTGCTGTCTTGTGCATCTTATTCTACTTCATCAGATATCAAGGCTCATCCACGCTGTAGTGTTAGAACTGTCTTCCTTTGTAATACTCCACTAAGAGCATAGCACATTGTTCATTGTTTCTTTTCTTAGTGCTAGGAACTGACACTGAACTAGGCCTCCAGCTCCCAGTGGTTGCTTGTGAAATGATGGAGATATCCTAAAATTGACAAAATAATAGTTGTACAATTCTGAATGTAATAAAGTCTGTCAGTTGTTGATTTTGAAGCGTGGTCTCTCTACTACAACCCAGGATGGCCTTACATTTCATTTGTAGCCCGGGCTGGCCCTGAACTCAGTTTATAGCATAGGCAAGCTTTCGACTTAAAATTTTACCTCCAAGTGCAAGGCTTACAGGTACACCTCACTGTATCTGGCTAATAGTGTGCATTTTTAAATGAATGAGTTATACAGTATGAGAATTAAAGATCAATAAAACTTTTAACAAACAACAAAACCAGTAACAACCATGCTGGCTCGAGTGTACTTACTTGACATAGCAAACCTCCTTCCTCTCCAGGTTTCAGTCAGGAGGCTAACACCACATAACGTGTGTCCCACCTAGTCACACCACGTGTACCAGCAATCCACTTTGGAGGTTTTATGTTGACTCTTGGGTTGTTTGCTAACCTGGTGGTTGCAAACATGGCAATGCAGACACTTCTTGTGATACACTGATTCCAAGTTTGGGGGACACTCTTCTCTTCGTGCAAGTGCAAGGCAAGGCAATGGGAGTCGCAACAAGCACAGGACAGGGCACTGCTGCATTGATGATGCCGCCTCCTAGCCAGCTTTCATATCACTAGTACAAAGGACACCACAGCAAAAAGGGACAAATGATATTTTTGCATCATTTTCTATTTTTTCTTTTTCTTTCTTTCTTTCTTTTTTTTTTTTTTTTTTTTTTTTTTGCTTGTTGAGACAGGGTGTCTCTGTGTAGCTTTGGAGCCTCTCCTGGCACTTGCTCTGTAGACCAGACTGGTCTCAAACTCACAGATTCACCTGCCTCAGCCTCCCAAGCTCTGGGATTAAAGGAGTGTGGCACCACTGCCCAGCTCATTTTGTATTCTTATAGCCCTCTGGAAGAGCCTGTGTAAAGATGGCTCAATCTGAGGGACAGTCCATCCTGGTGGAGCAGGCACGGTACCGTGGTGGCGGCAAAGGTGCAAAGCGGCTGG